TTGTTCTATTTATTCTCAATATATTTTCCCCTTACACTGCAACTTCCTTGTGCTGCTTGTGAATTTCATCTGCGGATGATCAATAAAGTTTCCTCTTACCTTATCGTTTCTTAAATAGAACGGTTTCTTGTCTTTTTCTTTGTCACAAATACCTCGAACTCCACACGTCACATTTGTACTTTTATCTTCAAAACACGACAACAACAAACTTTGGGTTAGATTTCATTGGTTGTTGCTATAAACATATTGAATGAGAAAAAAACCATTGGAGTGTTTTTCATATCAGATATTTTAGATATTAGATTTATGTCAGAACACTTGGTTTAAGCTCCCCAGACCAACAAAAGGCTGTGTCATGTTTTTCTCTCCTTTTTTCCTTTGACCTCATATTATGCTCTTCTCCAGCATAATGCTTTGATTCTCAGTATCTCTGCATGATTCACAGATAAAAAAAAAGCTCTTATTTGTCTCAAACTGACGTAGCCCCTCCGTTGAGCCTCTGACTGAAACAGACATCATCAGCTCAGGCCTCCTTAAAAGCCCACTTTCCTCCGACTGGCTGAACATAAGGAAACATGCCAGGGGGAGACGCTCAGAGCAGGTGCGCACCACCTCGTCCTCTTACCGGTGTGGAGCTTCTGGCAGCAAATCAAGTAACAATTAAAACTATAATATAAGTTCTTCTCAATCCCTAATAACAAAGACATGAGGCCTGGTATTTCTACAGTTTAACATAAATAACTAAAAGAAAAGAAAACACAAGTATAACTAAATATATTGAACTGAATAATATACGTTTTTATATCGATCCTGAACACCAACACTGATTTAAACAGCCAACCGATACATATGTCGAGCTCATATATTGAAGAACATTATTTGATTTCAGTCAAACTCTGTGTAACTCATAGACAAAATACGTTCACGAAAAATTGATGACTGAAAATGGCAACTTTTTGTTTTAACCGTACAAGTTTGAGCTTGAATCTGATCTAGAATGCGAGCAACCAACAAAGATTACAGCAGAACGTCTCTGGTGGACAAATATTACAACCATTGTCTCCTCATTGTTTGTGGCATAACAGCAGATTTGTCAATAATAATCCATCGACACGGTATTTTAATGAAAGAAGTAGAAAACATTGGCTATCAGGAAAAACAAAAGCTAACATTGCTGGTAAAATGGTATTCTGCTGTCACCAAACGACTGTTTATTAAAGCGGCTGGTTATTTGTATGAATGGAGAATATTAATTGCCAATAATTCAACCTAAATCAACTGTCTTGGGAGAATGAATGAAGACGTATTTGTCAGCATTCAGAGGTGTCACTTTAACATATACTTTATACATTTAATATGGACAGCTGACACTTTAACATCACATGTTTAATGTAAAAGCCACCTTATCACAGAATCAGTTTCTCCAGAGGAGGACGGTGCCATTCACGTCTGAAAAAGAGACACAAACACATCTATCGTCTATCCTCCTCCTCCCCGAGCATCTCAGATAACATGGAGGCCCTGCAAGAACTCCTGGAGGTGGCATGACGCAGAGTAGATAACTAGACCATTAGATAACCACACAGCGGTTGAGGCAACACCGTGCAAAAAACAGGACAAAGAAAAAAATCGGCAAGAACACAAGACCACAGGGAGGAGGAGGAAAAGCAGAGCAGGCTTAAATGTTAACGAGCCTTGCAGCGCGGCAGCGGCTTCCCTCCGTTTCAGTATCGCTGTGCGGCTGTGCTTACATTTCTGTCACTCACGTCTCGAGTGAGTGAGTCTTTGCCTCAGTGAGAAACCCCTTATTTAGAATGTGTGAGGTCTGGGACTGCAGCATAAGAAGACGATGGAATAATGGAGCTCAGAGGTGTTTGCAGGATGATTTACAAATGTGGTTGATATGCAGCTTAAACAAAAAGGAAACACCCGGCAGATAAATGATGCTATAAATCTCACCATTACAAGCGCAGCGTTAAAAAAATCAATATGGGTTTTTGTGTTTTGCTTTTTTGGTTCGCACATTGTTTCGCCATCCACAATACAACTGTCTTGTCTTGTTTTAGACAGTTAGATGTTGGAGGAATGTCTCTGGTTCTCAGGACTCTTGCCTGCACTTCTTGTCTGTGCAGTAAAAATAGTGTTATAGTTTTAAGCCTGGAACCAGGACGATCAGCTACAAGATGAATCGTGACCGTAAAAGATTTGAGTCGGAACCAAACAAAATATTGGAAAACAGACAATGGGCAAAGGTACAAGACTGTGTGCATAATTATTTTACGAGTGAAGGAACTACACATCCCATAAACCACTGAGAACGATCCCTTTCCAACAACTTCAGATGCACTGTTTCTGTTGCAATATAATGTAGTTTGGGTCTTGTATGTATGTATATAGCATTTCATACAGTGTAGTTTTTTTCTTAAAACACTATTGATATAATACAAACTTGTGGCTTCTACAGGAGAATCTAAAGTTGTTTCACAATCTTGTCGCTTGTGGTAAGTCTACCTCGCATGGTTAAAATATGGTGGCTGATAATCAAAATCTCCATTTGAACACAGCAGACTCCACAGGTTCAGAAACATGCACTGCACATTTTTCTTTTTTGTGGCATCCCCTTATCTCTCTTTCCTCCAATGGAGCTCCGTGACCCTCAACCCTCTCCCCTTATAATCCTGAAAGAGAAGAGGGCCATTAAAAAAGAATTAGGACACAGCTGTGTGTCAATGGCAGAGGCACAGGAGGATACGATGCAATGCAAACCCCCCCCCCACCCCACCCCGCCCTCTCGAACCCTTCGTCACCTTCACACCTTCCTTGTTTCCACTTCCTCCTGTGTCTCTCTCAGAGTTTTCACCTCTATTTCCTCGCTCGTGACTGCAACTTTCCCAGTACGGACAGAGGAGGCCCAACACCTCCACCACCAGCTACGAGTCCTGTTTCTAACACATGCCGACCAAGCCAGCCGCACCAGTCAGCTGAACGAGGATCCGGTTTCCCCTCCTTAATACTCCTAACAAGCCTCTTCCTTCTGCAGCCAAGTGTCAAGCCCACCAAAGTCACCTAACGGGACGGCTCTACCTGCCACAGCCCAACAACAACACAAAGACACACAGAGAGGAGATGTGTTTTCATTTTCACCGTTTCTCCTCTTTTAGCAGAGATGAGATGCAACCAGATACCCACCAGCAGTCACAAGATGGATGCCTCATTATATTTGCATGGTTTATTTTCATCACTTGCCGAGCAGAGACGGTGTAAACATATGAAGGATGTCATAAGGTTTGCTGTTGTTTTTTATATTGGGGATCCATTAGCAATACAAAATGACAAGGAGGCTCGTACTTGAATATAATCTAAATTCCAGGATCCCTTATGTATAATATATGTCTGGTTTTTAGTTTTTTAGCACAACAAATAGCTAAGGGTTAAATAAAAATGAAAACATTAACTGGATTTGATCTGTCGTTCAGTGATGACCAATTCAAAATCTAGATCTTACACAGCTTTATATGTTCTTATCTGATATGAGTACCTCGAACACGGCCCAAGAGTCCCCTTATGAAACCACATTAAAAATCACTAGATCCACATTTTTATTTGGATCTGCTCCAAATTACACGCACTTGTATATTTCTGGAAGACTTCTTTTCATCAAGATCCATGAATTGAATGGGTTCTTTCTTGGGTCATGCCCCAAGTAGTTTTTACATTATCCTGCAAAGAAAATAATAAACAAATTGACGGAGGCAGCAACCAACAAGAGAAAAGAAGATGAAGATGAACTCAAGAAAAAACTAAGTAACTGCATCTGATGTTGTTCGGAGCAATGAAGTGTTTTTGTTATCAGCTAAAGACGATCTCTATGCCCTGTCTCCCACCTGTCACGATACCAAAACACAGACATTGACAGAAGAAAGGACTGAGGCCACCAAGAGAACTACAGAGCAGCAGGGGGAACACGGCTCATCCTAACAAACTGACACAACCCAAATATATCAAAGAACGAGGAACCTCACACAGTCTTTCTCTTCTTCTCATCACTATCACAACATCCTCTTAAGACAAAATGGCACCATCAAAAACTTGACATGTATTTTTTATATCGAATACCTAAAAATGTTGTCTCGTTCCAAGCAAACATTATGGAATAAAACCTGACAGGCCGTGGCTCCACTCTGAGCGACATTACCTCTCAGCCGACCCTCTGCTCAGCCAGGGGACCACTTGCACTACAAACCAGCATGAGTCACGTATGTAGCAGCCTTTAACACACGTGTGAATCATCCTTAACGCAGGCCACCCCGAGCACAGTGATCGGCAGTTGCCCTTTTTACCCTGTTTCTACATAGGTGCTGCAGAGAGGTGACATCCATCCCACATAAAGACACTGGAATGTGCTGCATCTCCACATGTCACTCACCACTGAATATTTAACATCAGAACAGCACATGCAGGGGGTGACGTCCCCACAGCCTTTTACATTGCAGAGCTGTTGCACAGTGTGTACAGAGACAGCCTTCCTGTCAGTGGGAGCCGCATGAGAAGTCCCAGTGGGTTGTCATTAGGTTTCACTGGTGGAATGTGCAGGATCATGTGTTTGGTCACACGAAACTGGTGCAAGGCCTGAAATGTTTACTTTCACCCTAGAAGATAGGAGATGGTGTGGCATGAGGATATTCATGAGCAGAAGAAAATGAAGGAGCTGCCTCTGCTCTCATCCCACCCATATCTGTCATGCAACACCCTCCATTCAAGAGTGGGAGCTGGTAAACACAGCAGCCTGTGGATAATAACAATCATCTGCAAGGGATTCATTCAATCTGAAGGCAACGGGTGCTTCATCTGCTCTGTGGGTGCAGATGTGAGGAAACCACTTGCACGTTGAAGGCCATGACAGGACAAGTCAGACCATGAGTGACAGGGACATCTCTATTGTGCATGAGGCCATTTTATTTGTACCTAAAGGGTGATTGTGCAAAGTGAAGCAGCCATACCTTGTGTTTGATGTTGCAGTGGCAGCAAACAGTCCACATGTACTTGAGGGTCCTCCACAGCAGGATGATGAAGAGCCCCCCGAAGAACGTCACCATGGAGGAGGCGAGGAATGCCCACCACATGCGCTGGCCATTATTGTCGCAGGGCACCTCGGACGAGAACGGGATGACAACGTCTACCATCTTGGAGATGAGGATCGAGGAGTCCGGGTTCAGAATATTACTATTGATATTGCTTGTCCTCATAGAGCTGTCGCTTCCATGGGGGACGGTGCCATCTGCCTCAGCTAGCATTTAGGAGCCTTGGAGAGCCTGTGCCAGCGTCCCCAGCCCCACTCACCAGCCATATTGCTTGGGGGGAAAAAAGCCCCACTCTCCCTCTCTTCGCTGTAGATTGTGTTCACCCACCCGATGGAGTCTGTGTGTGTCTCAGCAGCCGGTGAATTGTTTATTATTATTAGTATTATTATTATTAATAGGAGGCAGCGCGCACGCGTACCGGAGCAGAACAACAAGTCCCACGGTTGGAGGCATTTAAATCCGCAATAACACGAGTCTTGTTGCGCGTCTCATTCTGAGGAGGTTTCTGGCTCTTTCATGCCAACAGCCATGGCACAGACGGTGTCGTCTGCGGCCGTCGACGCTGCCACAGATTTTTTTTTTTGTTGTTTTTTTAGGCGACGACAAAAACGCACAAGGACACTGGAGGAAAAGAGAAGAAAGGGAGAAAATGTCACAGCCTGTTCCTCGGCGTGGCGACCCCTCTAGCCGTCTTCCATTCAGGGATCCTGTCGGTGGAGGGGAATCGATTTCACTTTCTCCACGCGTCAATCGACCGTGAAGGTTTTTTTTTGGGGGGGGACAACACGAGAAAGGTGAAGTTGAAGCTCCGCCAATAAAATACAAAAAAAAAAGAAGAATCGCTGTGTCTGTGTCACCGCGCGGCCGAACACTACATGTTCTTGCGGGCGTGCGTCGCCGGCAGCTCTGCGAAAGGAAGAGGCAGTGGCTGGGCTCGGGTGGTTGTCTCCATTCGGTCCCCTGCAGCAGCAGCGGTGGCACGGGGCGGCCAGCGGAGAGCGCGCCTGTCAGATCCGCTCCAGAGAGAGAGAGGGAGAGAGAGGGAGGGTGGGTGGAGATTACAGGTAGGAGGGCGGAGCCAAGTGCTAATAATAAAGATGGACAGAGGGACTGTGACCGCCGTCACCACGTCTGTCTGTCCCCGAGTGAGTGCTGACCACCGGACTGCTGCTGCTGCTGCTGGTGGGAGCGGCAACAAATGCGTATTTGGCCTCTTTAATGCGCGCCAATGACGCACGGCGCCAAAAGAACCCACAAAGAGGTCCCCACAACATTAGTTATAGACCTTAGGACTTTGCATTGACTTCCGTTCATTGTGCAAAGCCGAACCAAAACCTTAACCACGACCATTTCATGACTAACCCTAACCTCAACCTAACCAAAACTCACATCATACCACAAACCTGAACCAGGACTTTAGAAATGACAGTCTACCTAATAGTAGGAAATAATTTTGATCCCCATGAGGTCAGTGTTTATGCTGGAAAAGGTCCTAAAGAGGTGAAATGAGTACACACATACACACACACACAGTGATGAATGTCCTTCTCGGGTCAATTACAGTAATACGCTCCCACTTTTAGCTCACATATTAGGCTGAAAACAGGTGTGGATTGGTGATGACGTCGAGGCATGAGTAGTAGCCTCAGCAGTAGTTTATGGCTGCACACTGCAGGATGCCCCCTCATACAACCAGGCAGAGCCGTGGAGATGGCGAAACAGCTGAATAACCATTGACCCCTGAGCACCAGACCAGGCAGGTGCACACAGCCAACTGTGTCACAAGGCTCCAGACATCTTGGAGAGTGCATGCAAAACTGTCAATATGTCCATGAGATCTAAATTCCTTCTGCATGTTTTGATAAAGTGCCACTAAAGGTCCCGTCTTCACTAAAGTGCATGATTAACAAATATCACCAAATGTTATCTGAAGTCTTAATCCAGCAATGTCATGGATTGTGGAATCATGACACTTGACACTCAAGCCCATCATTTGGAAAGTGAACGTGCCCATAAGGATGAAGAAGATATGTGATTTGTGTTCTGTGTTGGTAATTTATTGTCTGGGAAATAGTAGTGCTTCTACAGAAATAGCTGCTGTAACAAAATCTTTTAACCTGGGACCAGGACGAGCTGTAAAACATATAGACGACAGGGCAATCTGTAAATCATACAGCAGAGTTATATGGATGTCTATGCAAGAATTATGACATCACATAAAGTAGAGGCAGTGCATAGCAACATCGCGATGGAACATTGGTTAATATAAGAAATTAGTTACAGGAAGAGAACAAGCTCAAAGTAAACATATTTTATATTTCTATAATATTCCTTCCTATCCTTATTTCCTCCACATAATTTATTTAGAGCTTTGTTTTGAATTAACAACACAGCAGGGATCAAAATCAGACAGAGCTTTCATCTTTGAAATACAGCTCTGATGCTATATGTGTTTATTAGGTTTTATGATTTATGTCTTGTGATGCTCAGTCAACCTGTTAAGTATAAGGATGGGCCTTGAACATCAGCTCTGAATTTGTCCTCCTGCTGGTAAAATGATGAACTGTCACATTAAAGTTAAATGATGTCTCTCTGCAGGGGCTCAGGATACCACTGACATTTTTTTTAATTTCAAATATTGCTATATCTAAATAAAAAATTCAAAATTATTGCCAGCGCCAAGGTGATACCAGACAGGAAATTACATTTCAAAAGCCTCACAGTGATGAAATCTTTTATTAAAGCTCATCTTTATTGACTAAGGTATAGAAACAAAGAAACAAGTGAGATGTAAATCACAAGCCTGCTTTACAGAGACTTCTATTCTGAGCAACAATGTTTATTCATCTTGTGGATTCACGCAGAATAAAAAAATATCTGCACATGATTTATTCTGCCTGTTCTTTACACGTGTTGGAGGAACAGCAAAATCCATCTTAGGACCGAACATACTCAAATTCCTTAGCCATGATAAGATGTCGCAGAGTCGGAGCATCAGCAGCATATGCTACACACGATATGTGTCATGATAAATCTTGCTTGTGTTTATTGTCGGCCACAGCAGAAGGGACGTGAATCGATCATCCCTGCATGGAAGGCCGCCTGCTGGGTGATGGTTCCTGCAGAACTTCAGCCGGGGATCTCAGGACTGACGGATGAGAGGATACATGGAAGAAGTTAAAGATGCCAGAGAAGGGGATGAATTGTTCCCCATCGAGGAAAGGAGTGGGAAAGAGTGAAGAATCTGACAGAGTGATTGGGCGTGAGTCGGAAAAGGCCACGGCTCGCATCTGCCGGACGACAAAGGTCCTTCGCTGTCAGACTTGAGACCTCTCAAGTTCAGTTGAGCTGTCAGCAGCTGTCTTGAAACAGACACCCCAGCAGGAGGGCTGGAGACCTTACCCCTTTTCTAAAATAGGCGAGAGGAGACTTGGAGGACATGAAGAATTTGGGACACGACATGGCGAACCTGCAGCTGCAGTGTATCAGATGTAGTGTGAAGTCATTAGTTGAACAAAAACCACGAGCGACGGTCTCTGAGAAGCATCAGGTGGCATCACAGGGGCTCGTCTCAGACCACAAATGTTCTCGATGTGGGAGCAGGTCCCAGGAGGTTTGATGCACGAGAGCGGATGTTCTGGAGACAATGGGATGCTCTCTTGCCCCAGTGAACCTGACAGGCAGCTGGAGGGGAGGCATTCACTGTGACATCATTGGTTTGAGGACCATGTGACGCTGGATGCAGGAGCTCGGAGGAAACGACCTGCAGCTATGGAGGCACCCAATCAACCAGCAGAGCTGTGCTGTGGCTACAGGCTGTTTAATTGCATGGAAAGGAACTCTGCTGCGGAAACATACGTTTTCCTCTGTGTCATATCCAAAAGCCTGCGTCTGTATTTACTTGTACAAATTAGACTCAAGAAAACCAGTTAAGGAGTAAAAAGTTATTTGCAGAGGATGAAAAATTAGAACACATTTATCAATCCATCTTCAAACTGCAAACATTTAGTATTAAGTCTTTTTTAAATGATCACAGAACCGGTGGAGCAGAAGGAAGCGCAGACAAGGAAGAATGCACAAAAAGTCAATGCAACTTTTCTTTAATAAAGAGAAGAAATATCAGTCTCCTCAAACATCTGAACATCTATTCACATTACATAAAGCTAAAACTGATTTCATCCCCCAGCAGGTCTCTCCAGAGTGTTTCATAAAGTAGGTGCTCACCTCTGTGTCTGTTCTGCAGGTATCTATCTTCACTGGCTGAAACTAAAAGTAGAGTTTTAACTTTTAATCTTTAACCAAAGGAGAATTCAGTTGTATTTTTATTGTGTTGTTATTCAGTACGATATGTTTCTCTTGGAAGATCTGTTCTAAAAAAAGAGATTTTGATCTGAATAATCCACCTGATTAAATAAAGTTACACTGATTTAAACCTGCATTATATATGTTCAAGATATTTAACAAAATCTCCGTCTTTCTTTTAGAGACAAGCTTATTGGAGGTGGTGGACTCAGTGTTCTGGCACAAACTGACCTGTCACCAAACCTACAATACATGATGTATGACAGTGGTGCAGCTGAGGAGCAGAAAGAGCCACAGTGTCTTTACAAGTGTATATTAACCCAACAATGCAGCTGCTGCTTCAGTGCTGAATCAAGGCCATGTCTTTATCACTCGCTCTGTGAGACGGCGGCACATATTGTCACACTACCTTATCTCAGATCAGAAATAGATGGTATATTCATCCTCCACCTTTTCCATTTGCTGCTGCTGCCAGCGAAATGGATTCACTTCAATCCTCATACATGTCAGAGCGACACTGTCAGATTTCAGCAGAAATGTTGCATTAATTTGGATCTTTCAAACTTAATACAAACAAGAAGGGGAGACAGCAGTTTAAAAAAAAAAAAAAATCATCTCAATTAAATTTTTATAGGTATGAAAAATGTATCAGGGCCAGGTAAAAGTTAAAAAATGCAATTTGCATTTTGAGAATGAAGTTATAATGTTGAGTAAAAAGTCAAGAAAAACATGTCTTCCTCTAATTTAGTTCCGACTTTATTCTTAACATTTCGACCAAACTCTCGTCATTCTGTCTTCATTTTTGTCATTTCCAATTTATTTTGATCATTTTAAACTTATTCTTGACATTTTGATCTTATTCCTGACATTTCCATTTTATTTTTGGAAATGAAAAGGTAAAAATTCTAACTTATTCTGAACATTACAACTTTATTTTTTTCCCTTTAATTCTCAAAATGCAAAAGGAAAACAGATCTTCCTCCTCATGCTTGATCCTAATTCTCTTCGAAAGACTTAAAAGATCCAGACTGAGTCCATGTTGTGATACAGAAAATGAGCTTTATTCTCATGTTAATGTCTCAACATACAAATCACATTCTTTCTAACAAAAGAAAAGTTCAATCAGTACCTGGCGTCTTGATTCTTTCTCTAAATACAACTAGTTCACGTTGTATCCCACACTCTCTCGCTTGCTCGCTAACATTTGCTATCTACTCAGAAAAATAGTAACATTACAGTTTGCTTCTGCTTTACTCTTTTTAGCCCAGTAGTCAAACTTGTGGACTAATTTTCCTTTGAAAAAAACTGTGCAAGAATAGATCCCTTTTTAATAATTCAAATAAGAAGTGATCCTTTTTTCTTCCTATGAAAGAACAAAAAGGCCATAAATGAAATGTAAGGAACTGATGTGATACATAAAATGTGAATTAGTTACAGTAGAAATTATGGTACCTATATAGTCTACTGGAAACCTAGGAGCAGATACATGTTTTTAAGGTTCACAGATAAACAAGTGCAAAACAGAAATAAAAAGGATAAAGTCGCCGTAGTGGGTTTTGGCACAATAAGATACAGGATATGGTTGCGAGGAAGGGCAGAATATTTTTGTCAGTATTTTATTTTTTTGCCTCCTGAATAGAAAATACAATTAAATAATAATGAAAAAGTCACTAACATTTAAACGGATCAGAGGAAAATCCTTTAAGATATTACCCTGCAATTTTTGCTTCATAGTGTCTCTTTTAATGAGTACATCAATAAGTGACTGACAACCAACCACAAAAAATAAAAACAGAAAATAAATAAAAAGAAAAAACATGCTAATACCTGCTAAGACACGACTCGACTGCCAAACGATCCTAGGCGTACGACCTAGTGAAAATACATGTAATATATATATATATATATTTATAGATCTATATACTGTATGTGCGTGTGTGTGTTTTTCTGATGTATCTGCATATTGTATATGTTATACTCTATATTGTTGTTAAATATATGTTAAAGAGATAGAATGATAGTTACACAGTGGTCTGTCTAGCCCTGGAGTGCATTCTGAGGAGTTAACCCGTTGGCCGACACTACGGCCCACCCTCAAAACTTTGCCATTGTCATGCACTGTGCTGGTCTAAAATCAGCCCCTGAATCATCATCGAGTCCATGTTGAAGTGACAGATCGCATCTTCAAGAGACTTTTTCAGAAAATGTTTCTTGACGTTCTGGCTACGTGAGCAGGGGCTGGTTTCAGATCAGGCTTCCTCTCCAAAGGCACTTCCGAAAGGCCCATATAAACTGTCCACACACCCGGCTACTATAGAGACACAATGCATAGAGCAAACATCGCTGTGTTTGGAGTTTTCATGGTCGTTGCTGCTGGCAGTGATGATGTTCGGTAGCTACATACGTCGAGAGGTTTGATGCTTTTGCACGTTGACAACACAGGGAATGTGATGTCTGGTCCTGGCATTCGATTTCTATAGCATCGTATTTGCACTAACAAACAACCATGGTTCCACTGAACTGAAATTGTCATTACAATTCTGAACAAACAGTCTCAATGCTTTTTTCTCTCTCTCTCTCACACACACACGCGAAAAAACACTCACGCACAAAGACAAGCAAACACAATTAGTTGTCAGTCGTTGTCAAACGGGTGCATAATTGTCGGGGAAACCACAAAACGTCATTTGCTACACGGGGTGGGTCGGGGGTGGCTGAACTTCATTAGTGTTGAGGTTTGCGTACACAAAGGGGAGGGACACGCATTCAAGCATATATTGAACATCAATAGTTAGACTCGTCTTTTGACTGTAAACGGATGCTTACGATTGCAGCATTACAAATACACCACCAGAAACCCTTAGGGAAGACTCAATGAACTTTAACGTGGAGATCCAGTGCTACTAACCTGCTCCGGAGTACATCAGAAATCAAACAGGCTCTGATTATAAACCATAACAAAGACAAAATAAAAAATATCAATAATTTACATAACTAGCTGGCTGTAGGGTACCTACTGGTATCGTGTGAGAGGGTTAATTAGTGTTCGGGGAATGGAGATGAGAAGCCGCAGCTTAATGTAGTGGCAGCCGGTCTCCTCTAGGGGCAGCCGAGTGGAGTCCACAGGACTTTACTTTGTTCTTGATCAACTATCGTCATGATCTGAGTGCAAATGTAAGGGAGGGTGCCGCCTTGGACAATACCTGCAGAGAAAAGAGGACTCATTGAGAAAATATGGATCAAAACCAACATACTATCAGTCGTCAGGGTTGGTTTTTGTTTTTGTAGAAACAAACCTGTGAAGAATTTGCTGTATTCTTGCTCTATCTTCTGTGCACTTTCAAATTGCTCCTTGGAATGTTTTTGAGATACTTTGTCCCGCAGATAAACCGGATCTTTCTGCTCCCTGTGACAAAGACAAAAATGGAGACAGTCGTTCAGATCTCAGTCTTGGCGATTTGAATCCGTCAGCAGTGACCACTTGTCTCCTACATATTCGTTGTATCTACATTTTTCAAAATTCAGGGTTTCTAATGATCAGATATTGAAGACCTTATTTTGAATTCAACATCTAGAGAATCTTGGCACATGTTTTAAAAGTGGAGAAAGGGTCAATTGAGGGATGGCGAGTGTGAGGGCTTCTCCTGCTCCATCCATCAATTCATCCATCTTGCACACACACACACGGCAGGGGTGCCACCTTATCCTCATTCTACCCGCACTCCGGAATCTGCTAGCCAAGCATGCTGCACTGCACTTTAAGTGTTTGTGTGTGGTTGAAAGAAACTAACAATGACTGAGTTTGTGTGTCCTTATTTGTGTAGTCAAAAATATCACAACTTACTTAATCTGCTTGGCGTTTTTGTAGCGGACAAAGACAACAATCGGATAAATGTGAACGCAGTGGAGCCGTTCGATGGCGTGCGGAGCGATGTCAAGCAAACAGTGACAACCCTGTGTTCAAAATTGGACAAAAAAAAGGAAAGAAAGACAGAAAGCAGAACATCACTTTAAAAAGGAATTCGTTCCACACACAGTTTCATAAGACTTGAGGACCAATAAGATTTAGGATTAATGAGCAGGAATATTGCTTTTCATTCATTGCTTTCTACGCTCCAAGCGCTGTAGTTGTGATATCTTATCTTCACCAGAGGCAGAGATTAAAGACAAACAAGAAGCCACTTTATCGTCCCTGATACAATCTGATGAGAATGAAAAGCACTGACTCATACCTTATCTGTGATTTCCTTTATAGACGCAACAGTGGTCACGTCGAAATGGCCACTCCTGCGCTTGTAGTCGATGAAGAGGCAGTCTTTGACGCCACGCTCGATGGCTTGCTGGGATGCCTTCATCACCTCTGCAGACAGAAAGAATGGAAGAGAAAAGAAAATTACCACAGGACAATGTATAGATATTCCACATACAAACCCTCAAATTTCTTCAACTCTATAGAGTCTCATTATCAAAGCAGAGTTATCCAACAGCTTGTGGCTATACATCATATACATGTGGATGAGGTGAACTCACCCAGTACACATCTGCAGAACTTCCCAGGAGACTCTTTGACCAGCATCTCCTTGACGGGGTCTGTGAGCGGCCCGAGGACGAGTACCGGTCGAGGAGAGGCGCACTCCACCTTCTGGACCCGCTGGTATGCCAAGCTCACGCAGTCTGACATAGAAAACAACAAATCATGTTCTGCGAAGATTTATGATTTTGTTTAATCTTCTATTCTGTCACAAGTAAACCTTTCTTCTTACCATCCAGGAAGGGGATGGAGTCTGTGCTGATTGCATCCAGAGCCACCATCTCTTTGCTGTCTTTAGAGCTGCTACGTTTGTGTTTCTGTTTCCTCCTGAAGAAAGATCTGCGAGCCGCTGCAGACAGAGTCTTACTGGAGTCTTCCTTCATTTCTGTCACACTGTGTCTGCGGTAGAACTCTTGGTCCATCCTACAGCACACATTCAAAAAACAAGACATTACTGAAAAGGATCCATGCAGGAAAAATGGCTGAGAGTGCATCATGTAGAAGTATGTTCTGTTTTTGGGACATTTATAACTGAATATTTTAAAATGTTGCACTAAACATAGAGCAAAGGTTTTAGTTGGGTATGTAGTTCATAGGGGTTACATTGATTGGACAAAATAAGATTTTTTTATTGAATATTCCACTCTGAAGAGTTTAGTAACAAAGTTTGTGATTTTTGTACGTTTAAAAAAAAAAAGTTTAAAAATCACAGTTCTGGCCCTTAACGCCCACTTTAAGTGTGAAAACTAAATCAGAATCGCTTCTTCAGCCAAGTAACATGAATGTGCAGAAGTTTTGGTTGCAACATGTCAACAGAGACACACAGTAAGAAGACAACAGTGCTTGCAATACATGCAAAAGGACACTCACATGGAAGACAAGTGACATTAGATATGATTCCTACATCGCAGCATTAGGCCACAGATTGTTGTCACAGCTGTTACAAACTGTCCACTCGCTCAAAAATGTGTGAGTGCATGCGTGTGTGCTGCATTCTCCACCCACATGTACTTGCTGGGGATCTGCCCCCTCTGGATCTGCTGTGCGTTCTCGTCTAGCTGCCAGGCCATCCAGGTCCCGAAGCTGCCCTTTGGTAAAGACTCATCCACGTACAGGATGTCATCCTTCTTGAAAGTGAGGTCCACCTCCGCCTCCCCGACCCGGTCGTAAAGTGCTCTGTTGGGAGGGAGGGACAAAGACAAATGTGGAGGAGTGAGGAGCAAGGCAAATCGAGGAAGCAGAGGAGCATAAAGTTGATAAAGTGAGCATGGAGGTGAGGTATCAGACAAGGAAGGTGCGAAGAGAACAAGATAAAAAATCAGATAAAAACGAGAGTAGGAAAGGAAGTGAAAAGGGAGTTAATCTATCGACAGTATGGGCCTGGCTCGCCTCCTGTTGAAGCCTCGTAAGTCATTGCCGAGCAGCCTATCAGTGACAGCCCGACAGGCTGAGTGTATTTACTGCAGATGACATCACAAGCCTACTTGCCTATATGACAAGTGACTGCGGCAGCTGCGGCAACACGCCCAGACAGACTCCCGACAATAAAACGTGACTATTTTAGTGCCTCATTTTCCATTGATATAAAATGTAATTCTAATGACCTGGAAAACACTGGGTGCTAAAATGAATACGATGTTGGTGCTGGTGTGATGGGCATGATTGCAGTCACACAAGTGGATCTGGGACATAATTGCTTAGATGAGAAAGATTCCAACTTTGTCCAAGGGGCGCTTCAGTGGTGGCTCTATTTATAGCAACACGCACACAGAATAGGCAGCTCTGGGAAAATTAGCGTGCTCCTTTTTGCAACACACAGATGAATAGTGAACCCTGTGCATGTGTAAAGTGTTTATACACACGTACCGAATATAAAAGCCATCTCCTGGAACATCTTTGAGCATACTGAAGTCGTCTGGCCGGTGCTGCACCTTTAACGTGACCATCTCTGCAGGCTTCAGCATCTCGACATACACCTCCTCCGCCGTCTTATTCTTCATATTCACCGAGTTATACTGAAAGACAAGAGGGGCAGAGTGAACTTCACATTGCGAAAAACAAATCTGGCGAGTGTTTTTCACTCATTTGAGATATCATTTGTCGTGTCTGAGAGGGTTCCACTGGTAAACAGCCACAATTTCTCAGAGCTTTCAGCTGTATTAAAGTGTCGCAGTATTGATTTGTGCTATGTATGGGGGGGTGAGAGAAAACAAACAGGGTGGGAGATTGAAGGACAGACTGATGCTGTGCAGCCTGATGACAAAGCTGCGTGGCAATTCGGATCGCAGGCCCTTTGTGGCACAGAGCTAAGTGGGAGCATGCCAGGAATTGTCTATTATGAGTTTGCTGTGCTCCAGATGGATCAGCGATGTGGAGTGAGCGAGGACGCAGGCGAGGAGATCAATGAAAAAACAATGACAGCCAAGCGGAAAAAAATATGAGATGCCAGCGCCTTCTGTCAGCGCTCGAGTCTGAAGTAACAACACACAATGCTTTTTAAGAGTCAGGAGACTGCAAACATCTTATTACTGAAGCTTTGAGATCATGTCGAAGATGCTGATATTACACATACATCTCTTTACTTTTGAACAAAAATACACAACAAAGGCACTTTTACTAAAACTTCGGTCCAATAGATTTATCTTTTTACTCGTCTGCCTGAATAAAAGTACTTGTTTTATTCAAGAATTGCTTGCACAGTATATTGTTAAAGTTGTTGAACTGTGCTTATCTTCATACAAACATTATGATATTCTAGGACAAAATGTATGTCTGTACCTCTAAAATAAGGTCCCCAGTTAGCAGTCCATCTGGGCCTCTGGCAGGACTGTCCTCGTCCAGGCTCTCGATGAAGACGCCCCTTAAGTTTCCTCCACAGAGTGTGACTCCCACTTCCACTCCAGGCCTACACACCGTCACAAGCCGCGGATCGCCCACCTTCCTGCTGCCTTCAGACGGCATTCTGGAAGACCACATGTAGTCGGTTAGAGACATACTGAACAAATGTGTGAGACAGACAACCCACTAGACTTCATTTGACATGGAGGAGGAATTTGTCCCATCATTATGGAGATGATCGTTTTGTAATTTTAGTAAATCCTGTGTGCGCTTGTTTACCTGATAAAGTTGTGGGGGCTTGTAGTGGGTGTGGTCTGCTTGGAGGATGGAGTGAGCGTGCCCTCGTCCTGTTCGCTGAGTGTATCGATGGTGGAGTGATTGTCGGGGGTGGCGGCCCCACTACCCTGTGGGGTTGACTGTGTACTGACTGGCTCCAGACGGGAGCTGCACAAATAAAAAAAATATAAAATAAGTTAAAAAATGGGGAAGTTCTGGCTCCATCAATTGAATTATATAACACCAGACCTTAGGTTAATATACGTCACTGCAAAAGAGTGTAGATAATGGAATCATCCATACTTTTTCCAATAAAAGTTGATAGTTCTTTTTCCAATGGTTCCAAAAAGTTGTTTTGTTACACTTAAAAAATGTAAAATCTATATAAAGAGCTATTCATATTGATCAATGCAGCCTGTTGATGGTCAATGTCAAATTGAACATGTATGTTCGAGGTAAATTAAGAAAAGAGAGCACACAAAGGATCATGGCATTCTGAACTTCATAAAGAAACACAGAAATTGAGAAACAGAATTGAAACTATGCTTCTAAATGAGACAAACATTGTGTTACCTGGAGCGGGAGTGGTTGCCCAGCTGGTACATGTGTGGGTTGTACTGGGCCATAATGGTGACGGTGTCACACTGCTGACCGATGATGAGACGAGCTTGCTGCTCTGTAGCGTTCCGCAAGTTGATGCCATTGAACTGACATAGGAAGAAAATTGTGGTCAGGGAGAGGGTTAGGGGAGATGGGTTAGACACGAGTAATACACGTGGATGCCAAGTCTGTTACTGATTTTAAGTCTGTAGCAGGTAAAGAAAATACTCATTAGGGATGAGACATGGTTCACTCGTCACGTCCCTGAGGTCAAGGTTCACTAACAGATCAAGGATGTCACCTTGCCTCCGTGATGTGAACATTTCTGATACTTGAGCAGGTTGTTCATATTCATACCTCCAGTAACTGATCTCCATATTCCAGTCCTGCCTGGTGGGCGATGCTTCCTCCTGTAACTTTCGAGACAAAGATTCCTCCATTCTCCCCACTGACGATGGAAATGCCGAGAGGCTCTGCACCTTTGTGCACGATGACATTGCGGGGTTCCTCCAGGTACGGCCTGGTGGGAAAGAATGATATGCATGAATGAATAGAACAGTTAAAAGATACCACACAAGAATTAGTTGAGGGTAAAAGGATTTATTTACAGCTCTGGATGGTTATTTGCTAGCCAGGAGTTACGCTGCATTTAAACAAAATCACTTAAATTCCAAACATTATCAACCATCAACAAAAAAAGTTGCGTTTGAGGAATGTTTGAACTTGAACTTAAAAATGTCCTCCCAGGTCTGTAAATTGATCTTTCCAGAGCGCAACTTCATACCTGGCTGACAGAAGAAATAGGACAGGCTTGGGATACTGTGTACAACATCATGAGAGCACAGGCAAGTGAAATCCCTTCACATGAAGAATATTAGCATGAACTTTGTGCGGCTTCATGGCAAGTTTTCTTTGTGACATGGCATACAGTCCCATGAAGGGGAATGGATTGGCAGCCAGAGGAGTGGGTAAAGAGTGGAGGTGTACAAACAAGACCATGGCCCAGAAGCTTGAGGTTGAATAATATAACCATTGTATACATACATACTGCAGACTAAAGGGTTACTTGGCTTAAGGCCAAAGTACACATGCATATTTGACCATGTCGTCATCATGGGGCATGGACACTGCATGCAATGTTTGAGATTCAAGTGGGTTTCCCGACATGGAGGCAGACAAGTGCAAACACTGAACCTTTGATTTTCACTAACTGTAACTTATCAGGGCTTTTTTGTTTCCTTTGTAACAACTGATATTCTGCAGCAGGCAAAGAACTATCAATCTGAATATTTAACTGTGCTGTTGCGGGGGTAAAAATATCACAAATCTTTTTTGTTGCATTCCAAATGGTGCAAGACTATCCTGCTCTGCCATGTCATCTAGCTGTCTCCACTGAAGCATGTGAACAGCTTTTGGGGGTGAGGAGGAGGAGGAGTGGGGGGGCATTCCCTTGTTTGTAGCACTGAGAGGAAGAACGAACCTGAGGCTCCTGAGAGAGGAGAACCTCGGCCTTGCAGCCAGAGGAATCCTTAGAAAAGATCGGTTACGGTAAAGAGCTCTGGAAGCGGAAGGTTACAGAGAGGCGGGAGGAAGATAAAAGAGGAGAGTGGAGGACAGATATCATACAGAGACAGTAATGGTGTAAAATAACTGAGCTGTGTCTGTTATACAAAATGGGACAGAAATGTTGGGGAGAGAAAGAATATAATCAAATTCCATTACACCGGGAAATCACCACTACTCTATTTGGAAACGGCAAGAAACTTCAATTAAATGAATAATCAAGTGTTAATTGGATTTCAATTCGAATTTCAAAGAGGGATTGCAGTGCTCTAACCAGGATAGACCTGTTGCCTGGCAACGCCTGTTGAAATAGCCTCAGAGAATCCCCGAGGGCAGATGTAGGCTCATATCTGACCCGCTTCTGAAGTGATCCTATAATCACGATCGTCATTATTCACACAACATCTACACCATCTTTTTTCTTATACTATAAGAAGAGCTGCACCCATCAGCCGAATACTATTTTACTGAAAATACATGATAGACAACTGGAGACAGTTGATTTCTGGTACATTGCTTTTTCTCTCAGAACACGTGTTTCCATCATACCTGTCTTTCCTGCGCTCCCCTATTGGCAAAGGGCTGACTGAGATCCGAGGTAAAGTGGAAATGGAGCCTTGTGATTGGCTGCTGGCGAATGAGGATGTCTCCAGATTGAGCGGAGACTGCGGAGGTGTGATGAGACTCGGGCTGCTACACTCGGAGTGCGAGAGGGAGCCTGGATTTAGAGGGAGAGGAGAGAGGGGTAAATTAAGCATGTGTGCAGTGTAAGATGACATTTAAATCTAAAAAAAACAATGAAATCTGATTAAAACTGAAACATTAAACCATTTTGTAATACGCAGTAAACACTCTATATCACTTCACCCACATCTACAAATATCCTGACACTTCGTTTTTGACGGGGATATTGACACTTGAGCTGCGTGTCAGCAGCTTTGTTGCTTTTGGGAATCTGCCAATGGAAGCTTAGTTGGATTTGAAACCTACTGGTTTAATTTTGCATTTAAAAAAAGAAAAATGTAGCCATTTGGATAAATACCTTAACAGGAACTGGCTCGAGACTTGGACACAATATTTTTGCTGAAGTCAACAAAATCTGAACACTTGGAATGGACATTATGACTTTGCACTGAGGAAATTCAAGTGTCATGGAAGGTAAACAGACACTTCACACTGACAATCAGAACTAAAACAGGCTAATTTAAGTGTTCAAATGAGAGTTCCACATCTGAGGATAAAGTTTAAAGTTGCTCCTGTTTCACTTACTAGTTATTATTCAAATTACAACTTTATAAAGCATTGATCTTAAAACAGGCCTGAGGGCTGGGAAAAAGAGTTAAAGGGAACTTTAAAGGGATTTTTTTCTTCTGAGTGCTTTAATAATTGAAAAGTGTTTTACCAGTGGGATCATTACCTCTGTCTGACCCCAGCATGGAGCGAGGATAGCGCGGAGTAGAAGGGATTTTGATCCTCTCTGTGCGGTATTGGACGTTATTGGAAGAACCTGGCAGTGGGATGAGATGATATAGAAATTAATGCTGTGACATATTATCCAAAAACAGACGGGGACATTGAGTCTTTGACCTTTGTGTGCGTGCGTGTGTGCGTGCGTGTCAGACTGACCGAGCCGAGCGCTGGAGGGCAGTGAGTTTGTACCGTGTGAAGCTCTGCTGCTACGTGATGACGAGGATTCCGAGTAGTCGCCTGTTCGCTTCTGCTGGCTCAGGTCCAGGCTCAGACGACCCTGGTGTTGGGGGCTGTGAGGATCAAAACAAAACAAAAATAGCAAACACTCGTAATTAGTCATGCAATTCTTATACAATTATCAAACTAGCAAAATATTTCAGTTTGGAGTTAATTAAATTGATGGGCCGAGTTGAAACATAACTGCATGAGATTAGGGCAAAGCAACAGCACAAATTTAATTATGTGATTTTGCCGCTGGGAAAGAGGCTAATTTAAAAACATTACCTATCATAACAGCTGCCATCAGAAAGACTGAAGCGCCAATTAAAGAATCTTTGATTTTAACCATCCGTTCAACAGCTGCGGGCGAGGAAACGGCAAGTGTGAAAAGGGGATAACCTGGTGTGGGTGTGCTGGTGACAGATCTGGGAGGCGACGGATGGACAGTTGCTGGTGTGAACGCGGTGACTGCGCACGGTGTACACCGGATTCCTCATCACTGCAGTCACGGCGGGGCAAGGAGACAGTCCCCGGTGGGCTGAATCTGACAGATCACAGACGCAACATAACATTAGAGATGGAGGAATATGATGATGGTGTGTGTTTAAGCATTTGAGAAAAACTCACTCGGAGGTAGGGTGCCATTGTAGACTGTGGGGACGAAGCCCACGCTGTGCCTGTGGGAGCGGCTGGGAGACGAGCGCAGCATGTCCCTGGGCTCCGGCGAATGCTCATCGTTAGAGTAGCTCTGTGATAAATGACAGAAACAGACGGTTACCATTTTCCCTGCAGGGGAATACAACAGCATTATGTCTTGGGAGAAATCCTCCACCCTTTGCTCGAGACAAGTATCATATGAGAAAAATGAAAGAGTGAAGAGCCCATAACTGAAAAAAATGAACATCTATCCCCATTGTGCTCTGCTGTGTGCTTCAGCGCCTGCAGAGGTAGCCAGGCAGGGTAGTCAGAGCCTGAGGCACTGACTCAGCTCCTGGGTTCAGTGGCTGTACCAGTGCAGAGACATCAATCACTCAGACATGCTTCCTAAGAGGCAAGTCCCAGAGGCCCAACTCTGGCGGGGCTGTAAATTCTATTACAAAATTGATGCTTTGGCCCTCTGGGATGATTTGAAATGCTGGTCCCATTTCGGATGGGATCTCTTTTATTACAGAACAATTTTAAAGCAGGAAATTTCAGAAGCAATGGACCCACATAAAAACTTTTGCGGTCTTAAATGCACTCACTTGGAAGGTGGGGAAATTGATGGTCTGGGGGGTCATCCTCCGTCGGAGGGCAGGGGCAGATTTAGGGCGCGGCCTTTTCACCTCCGGCTCCTCTCCCCTGGTACGGCCGATGTCCTCGTCACACGACTTCCTCGATGTCAGGACCTTGCCGTCCAGGAAATAGTGGTTCCCGTTCCTGTCTCTTTCCCGCTCGCTCCTCTCTCTGCCCTCTGCCGCTGCCATGGAGATGACAGCCTCTCCCTTTCCATCTGAGGTGATGGTGCAGTCAGAGGCAGAGCTGCTTTGATGTTTGTGTTTGAATTTAAAGGAGTCGCTGCGATTGGGTGGGGTCGGAGGTGTTGGGGTAGGGGTGGATGAGGAGGAGAGCGACTCTGTCTTCGAAGGCTGGGGAGAGTGGGATGCTGCAGCAGCGGCGGCTACTGCTGCAATCTGATTGGCCGCCATGTACTCCATCTTAGAGGAAGGTGTTTCGGGACGTTTGAAAGTGTCTGGGTCGAAGATGGACTTCCTCTGCTTGGGCGATTTGTAGATGGAGAGCTGGGCTGCTGCTGTGACCGGACTGGTGTTATCTGGTGCAACTGACATACCTCCCACCATCATCTTGGGCCATGTGCCCCCGCTGTGCTTCTTCTCCAGGGTCGTCTCCATTGTAATGCAGTCCGAGGCCGAGACAGGGTCAAAGGGCAAGGAGGAAGGCGCCTTTGTGTATGGGCAGCACTCCTGGAAAGCACTGGGCCCGTAGCGGCCAGTGCCCAAGTCAGAGGCAGGTCGGAGGCTAGTGGCGTGGAGGGAACCTGTGGAGAACGGCCTGCTGATGTCGCCGTACACCTCATCAGATTCACCTCTGACCTTCCTCCTCTCCCCGGAGATGCTCCCTGTGCTAGTGCTGCCAACGTCAGGGCAGAAGATGTCAGTCTGCGTCGAGCTGTTGTGTTTGAGGTTGCGACTGTTCCGGGAGTGGACCTCTGACAGGTGCAGGCGCCCATTGGACTTTTCTGATGACTCACGCAGACTCTCAAAGATGTTCTGGCCCGATGTGCTGTGAGGGAAGAACTGCAGGGAGGACAGATGAAGCAATGAGCCACTCAAGACGAACATAGCTACAAATTCATTTTAAAATATTACCCTGGTAAATGAAACCGTTATGCATCAGGCAATTCAGCTGTTACAAATCACACAAATGAAGTTGTAAAACTAAGTAGGGCATGAAAAAGTAGAGAGAAAGCTCTTGAAGATTTTCCGCAGAGGCGAAGAAGGAAAGCAGCTCAGAAAGTGAGATGAGTTTGGCCCACCTTCATGAGAGAGAGGCTCAGAGAGTCCCTGCAGCTCCTCAGCAGAGCCTCGCACTCTGTCACAGATTTGTTATCCAGAGCAATGCCGTTTATCTGGGGAGTAGAGAAAGACACTGGAAATAAGGACAGGTCCTTCAGCGCTTAAGCACGTTAGTCTTTTTGATATTTCTCCAAGCTCCATGAGTGTGTGTCTTGGGTGGCAGTATTATCAAAATAGATGCCCATGCAGGTGACAAATCTCCTGAACATGGCGGTGCCTGGGGGCCTGAGGAGCATCTCTCTCCACTGCAGTGGGGAAACTAAAAGACATTCAGGCCAGAACATTTTCAGTCTGAGGAACCCTCCCGCTGCAATCTGCAAATTTCCATCACAATAGAGACTTGAGATGATTTTCTTTTACAGCAAGTTGAGAGCTATTGAAGTGAGTAATAAATTACGATTAAGAATTATCATTATATAAGTTCAGGGAAGAACTTTAGAGGTTTAAACTGAAACAAGTCTGATACGTTTTAATCGATGAGGCAAGGGAAACACATCTGAGCCATGGAGTTCAGCTTCTGACATTCACCTGCATCCTAAGCAGACAGTAATTAAGCATTTAATCAGTTATACATGAATATAACCTGATACACTAGCGTCATTAACATCCACAGGGGGATGATAAAAAACGATACTCGCCCTCGATTAAGATCTCACTTACCATTACCAATTGTGGTTGCAGCTCAGCCATTATCAGGCGCACCAGTTCTCTGGCTACATGGAGGTAGAGTTGCTCTGCTGCTAAATGATGAGCAGGGATATCTAAGTGCTCTGGGATTTAAAGGTTACGCACAGGTTTCATGCTTAAGTTTAAATTAACAGGGGAGTTAAGATTTCTGCTGCTGCTGGAAGATTAGCATAAGAGACAAGGTCAGTTTTTCAAAGATGGATATGCACAGTTCTATTTCTGACACTCGTCTTAGTATATGTGGGGACAGCTCCATCTAGCCCCGCAGAGCTGCACGTTTTTGAGCACTTAATCAAAAAAGGAGCAGACTTTCCTCCTTCTATACTTCACATGCTCAGACAAATCCCACCTTATCTAGGTTTGGATTGTGGCTAGTGGAATGGATCAAAGAAAGAAGAAAGCCAAAGAAACCAGTTGGAGCTGTAGTGTGGTAGATGTGTGATTTTTTGTGTATTAAAATAAAGATGGTTTCATAGAGGGAGTGACTCACAGCAATCAGTCTGTCACCAACTGTCAGGGAACCTTCCCTGGCTCCAGGGCTGCCCTGGACGATAGCAGTGACGAACACGCCGCTCTCCAGACCAATACCGCAGTCTGAGATACAGAGGAGGAAATGTGGAGGTAAACAAGAAAAAAAGAAGAGCGTCTCATGTTTTGCTGCGTTTGTTACATCGAACACGACGCACCAAAGAAAAAAGCTAACTTCTCTCGTTGCAATGTGAAAGGAATCAATCATCTTTATTTAACTGGTGTTAAAAAACTTTAATATACTTGTTAATATTGATGAAAGAGGCATTATTTATAAGCAGGCTAAGTAATTGAGGACTCTAACTTACCTTTGTGCCCCACAAGGTTGATGTGAACAGGAGTGACCAGCCGTCCTCCCAGAGACTTCCTCCTTCGTACCACCATGTTAATCGATCCCCCACCACTGAGGACAGCCTTCACCACCTGCTTCCTGTCCTTATTGGTCAGGTCTATGTCATTAATCTTCAACAACCAATCATTCACTCTGGAAACACAAGGACAGAGAGTGGTGCCTTTAATAAACCGTACAAAAAGGACGAACGTTACGTACTTGAGGCAGCTCATACCTTAACCTTCCATCTGCGATACTTCCTTTATCCACCCTTGTAACAAATATTCCACAATCTCCTGGTAAATACGGATCATTTACCCCCTCAGTGATATCAAACCCAAGTGCCTTCAAATCCATGTTGTCCTGTAAAAGGCAATAATATAAATGTTAGTGTACTCATTCTATTTGACAAACTTATTCTAAAATGAAGTTTTGGCCGTCTCTGCAGGCCTCTCAGGAGACTGGCGTGCCACCAAATCACTCTCAGTAATAAGAACTGAGCACTGCTCTTACCCTGTCTTTCTCAAACTCCACCACTTCTGTCTCCCACTCCAGGGAGTCTGTGTCGATGGCTGAGTCGTGAGAGCTGTGGGCCATTAGCTGACAGAAACGGGCCTCCTTCTCCAGCTGGCTCTCCATCTTCTCCCTTAACAAAGGAAGACATCACACACAGAGTCAAAGGTCAGTCACTCGGGAAGAGATGAGCAGAGACAACAGAAAGAATCACACACAACCAGTCTGCAGACTAAAAAGATTTTATCAAATGAAAGTGTCCATCATTACAGATGTAGAATCCAGAATGAGAAATTAGTTTGCATCTACAGGGAAGAAGGAACATGAAGAAATGTTTTGACCTCCTTTTTCAAAATCTGGATTAGTTTCAAACTAACTTGAATGTGTCTCGAATGTGCTTACTCACACAAGCTCACACTTTCCATTGTGCAATTTAGGAAATTTATATTGATGAAACCTAAAAGTAGAAAGCACACAATGCTCCACTGTCAGTAAGATGTATGATGTTCCACTGAGGCGTGCCTTCAGGGCAGCAGTGACATTAAAACCCCAATCTTACATTGTTCCTGAGAGAGAGAAACTCTCAATGTCAGAGCACACTGCATACTCAATACAATGTATGTCATATACTCTTTAGCCAGCAGAGGGAGCTTTTATTGTGCAATATAAAGACATGCATATGCAGGGAGGTTGAAGCAGTGAGAGAAAAAAATATGCATGTGTCCAAAACACTGACACTTTCTGGGATTACACTTTTAATCTGGTCGTGTGGAACTGGAGCCAGACAAACAACTGAGCTGCACGAAGCCTCCAAAGAATATCACAGCTTACGCCTTGCCACACACTGAGTACAGCAGCTTATAGAGACAAAGACAGTGGGATACATGGAGCTGGCTGAGGAGAGGCAGCCTTGTTCTGTGCTTCTGCTAAAATGCAGGTGTCATAGTATCGTCATGACGAAAACTCACTTTAGTTCTTTCAGCTCTCGCAGCGCATCGTTTTTCTGTTTCCTCATGTCGTCCAGATTTCGCAGGGCATCAGCCAGGTCGCTGACTGCCCGGTCCCGTTCCCGTCGTAGGTTATCGCACAGAGTCCTGCGGGAAGGAGCGGAGAGAGGTGGTGAGATGATGTGAGGAAAAAAACCTGGATTAAACATTCCAGATCTACGACATTGTGTGTGCCCTTGTGTCTGACCTGATGCTCTCCCTCTCCGCCACTATCTTGTCCCTCTCTTGGAAGGCCCAGTCCCGTCGACATTTGGCCACCTCAGCCTCCTGTGTGGCCTCCTTCAGTTCCTGCGACATGGCCTCGTACTGTTTCCTCAGCATCTCAATCTCCTTATTGGCTCGTTCCATGTCCAGGGTGGCAGAGTCTTGTTTCTGTGAACATTGCGAATATGTGAAAGAGATTATTCATTTAAAAAGCCATATCCATTTGTTGCAACATCCAAAATACTATCAATGAAAACACTGATGGAAACATTAGAAGCATCAAAAGTTGACCCTAACCAGCAACTTCTAAACAAATCAAAACTCATCTTACTCATCGTACTGTGATCCACAAAGTGACATCTCCCTGCATTAAGGTCTTTAACATGTGTGCGGCGTGGTTGTTACCTGTCTGGCCTGATAGTACTCTCGGAGCAACTGATCCCTTTGAATGATGGCCTCCGTCCTCTCTTTGCGAGCCACGTCCCTCTCCTCCCGCACCGTCTCGATGTCCTTGCAGGCCTGGCTCAGCTCCTTCTGGGCCTCGGCCTTGTCCTTCACCTCGTGGCAGTACTTCTCCAGCAGTTCGTTCCTCTCACAGATGGCCCTGTCGCGGTCCACCAGTGACGAGTTCAACTCCTATCGCCAAAAAAAAAAAAAAAAGGAATGAGGGCATCTCAACACAGAGAGTCATTGATGTGATGTGTAAAAATTATTTGAGGGCCAGAGTGGAGTGATCCATCACTAGAATCTCTTTCTTCTGTCAACCAGCGTTCAGAAATCTTCCCAAAGGAGGAGTTGAAGTAGAACTATGTTTGTACAGTGTCGGGGTAAAGACGGCCTTTGATGCATTTGATCTTTGGTTTTGTTTTTGAAGGATACAACAGACGTACTAGTGCATTAGCTGTCTGCTGAGTAACTGAGACAGTAAGACTTTCGGAAAGCTGTGATTGATGAGTCATAACTCAAAAATGTCCAGTTTTTGAAAAGACATCACTTTGACCTTTTAAAGATTCAGGCCCACACATCGTCTGCTTTGGCCGTGGTAGTTCTTCTTCAGGTGTGTTTTGATATGCAAGAGCAGACAACCTTGACAAATTTCACATTGTTGGAAAGCTTCATGTCTCATTCAATTTAAGAAAAGTATTTTAGGATCCTCATATCAGAGTTGGTTCATCCTTGTGACTATGGGCTCAAAATGTTCGCCACACAGAAATGTCATAACAGCCTTTGGTTCATTTTCTCTGCATCTCTATTCATCCTTTCTCTTCCTCTTTAACTTCAGTATCTCTGACCCTCATTCTGACTATGTGGGTGTAAATTATAAAGAGTTACCTTTCAGAAGAGACCACGGTTTTAACTGTGATAAAAAGGTTGTGAAAAGTGAAAAGAACTAGTCTGACAATTTGATAAATATATATACTTGCTTTCTTGCTGAGAGTTAGATAATACAACAGGTCTCAAATTCCTGAAACAATCTGCAGTTTTATGGAGTGTTACATGTCATATAATGTCTTTGCCATATCCTGTTCCTGGACTTTATATGGTTGCCTAGCACCTGGGCAAAGGGTCAAAAAAAGTCCAGCTCATAAGCATTTTGGATTAAACAAATAAGATGTAATGTGATCATGTAAAGGAGCCAGTAGGCAGATCTTGTTACCAGAGTGACATTAGCCGTTTCCCTCACCTGCAGTTTTATTGCTTCACAAATCTAAGATAGGCTCAATCAGACTGTATTTGTATACTGACTGTATTTTCCCATATTCACAAATCACATTTGTCTCACAGGGCTTAACAAGGTGCTAAGCTAAAGTCTCCAGATAATTTTTTATAATATTTACAATATTCTTCATCTTCAGCCTCCATTCAGTGTTGGCCTGTAACCACTCTGAATATGAGTGATATATTAACTTGAGTTTTGGACATGCAATCCATTCTTCAGCCTGATACCTGTCTGAGCGCCTCCAGCTCCTCACTGGCCACCACTCTTTCAGAGGAGGTGTTTTTCAGTCGGGCCTCGGCCGCCTCCAGCTCCGTCTGTAACTTGTCCAGCTCTTTGATCACCTGGTCCCTCTCGCTCATGATGAGACGATACTCATTGAAAACTGAGTCCCTCTCCTCCTTGTACTTCTCACAGTCCTTGGCTGATTTAAGCTGCAAGTTCTTATAACGCGTCACCTCCGACTGGAGACGCTCCATCTCCCTCTGAAGCTCCTTGTTCTGGGCCGACGACTTGTTCAGCTCCTGCTGCACTGAGTCGAACCTGGAGGAGCAGAGGAAGATGGTGAGATCTGAAATGTAACATTTTATAAAGATCATCAGGTAAAATAAATGATGTGTACTGGCTGCAGCCTCAGTAGAGGGCCCTCCTTGGGTCATCCTCTGTCTTGCTCGGCTCCTGTCCCTGGCAGTTTCTTCGACCTCATGTCTCTGATATGTATTGGCAGATTGACAATGATTCCAAATCATGTCAAATCAATTGAAATAATCACAGCTATACTCCAATCCATATGTAGAAACATCTCAAAGAGTATCAAGAAAGATTTAAAGCACCAGAGCTAAATGTAAAGTGCCATGAAATATGTTATTTCAGTTTTACCTTTTTAATAGATTTACCAATATTCTGTTTTAGCTCAGTCATTTTGGGGAAGTGAGTGTAGACTGATGAGGGGGATTATTCTTTAATCTAGTTTATTACTTTGTTCAGTATATATTATCTACTGTATATATCATATGATATATGTAGAGAGAGAGACGTGTCTTGCTCTGTGTGTGTGTTTGTGTGTGTGTGTGTGTGTGTGTGTGTGTGTGTGTGTGTGTGTGTGTGTGTGTACAGGTGAAGCCGTTTCACCTTCTCATTGACGTGGAGTACTGTTGCTGGTAGTGCATGGCTGAATCGCGCTGCTTGAGCAGTGCGTCCATCTGCTTCTGCAGCCGCCGATTCTCCTCCTCCGCCTGCTCCAGGCGACTCAGGTCTGTGTTGTGGTTGGCCACCTTCTCGCTGTAGCGCTTGCTCAGAGCATCGTACTCCTTCTTCACACCCTCCAGCTTGTCCATGGCTGTATCATAGAGTTGGTTTAACACCTCCGATGAGCCCTTCTCTCTCATTACCTGACAAGAACAAGAGGTCACATGATGCATCATTATAGAACATTTTTGGTAGAGTTCAAAATGTTGTTGGCATCACATGAGATGAATTAAGTCTGTATTTACTGTGCCCCACCTTAACAGCAGATGGCATCAATGTGTCGGCAGGATTCTATTTTTACAGCACAAGCAGATTCAGTGCCATCTTAAACAATGGATTTTCTAAGTGCAAGTACATTTCTAGAAGTGCATTTACGCATTCATGTAAAACTAACCTGACCTGCAAAATTAACAGTCTTCTATGCAGAGTGTGTCCTTCAGACTGCATTACTCATTCTCAATGAGACTGAATGTCTCATTACCACAGGTCTTGCTGATATAGTCTTCCTGATTCCTGGGAGACTTGCTGAGAGCTGTATTGACCCCATTGACACAGCACAACACAGCATATACACTTGAAGCTACATGGTTTGGGTCAGTGTGCCCTTTGCCCGAGCCACAGCCCTTCTGTGTTTGCCCTTTTCAGAAATGCTCTGTGTGCATTTCCCTCTGCTCGGCTGCCCTGTGCTCTTAAGCACTGCAGTATTCCCATGCGTGCTGTATGAGACAGCACTGCACAGAAGTGCAATGTGTCACAGCAGCCTTGTGAAAGAGGTATTTAGTACATAGAAGAAAGCCGCCATTAGTGTGTAATTTATGACTTCAAATCATAAGAGATGAAAATTACTCTGGGCTTTTAGGAATGCGTGCTGCATAACATAATATATTTTTGTCAAAAAGTAGTCACTTCCTGCCCTTTAAACATCTGGTCAGCTACAGCATAAACTGTGTGTGTGTGTGTGTGTGTGTGTGTGTGTGTGTGTGTGTGTGTGTGTGTGTGTGT